TGTATGTGTATTTCATGCAGAGAATCTATCAAAGTCGAACTGCGCATGGGGCCATGTTTTATATGTGGTGTAGTTGAAACAGAAGATTACAAAACCTTTTCAATTCTGGGTTGTGTGAATGTGTGTTTACACATTATATGTGTATACCGCCGAATGAACGTCGGCACTCTGGCTCTGTATGGAGGTGTGGTCAATGCGATTGGTCTTTCAACATGGCGATGTATCAACCATTTTCTAACGAAAATGAATTTCTTTTTGATGACGATGTAAATAACATTAATGCCTCACTCATCTACTTTGAGAGGAAGTTTACATTCAAAGATCTCCACAAGAAGGTAATATCATTTCTTAATGTGAAATTTTCATTGAATGTTATCATAAACTTATCATTATATTTACTCTAATTTTTTTCATTTGCATACGTTATAGTATATACACAAATCTTTTGCTAAGAATCATGGGTTGATTGGCAAAAACTACATCGATGTTGAGTTTCTCGGTGGTACAACGAGGAATATTAGAGTACGTACAACAAGAAGACGTAAAAAACCTAATGTCTACCTCACTATTGGCTGGAAATCGTTTTGTTCTTCCAACAACATGGTTATTGGCAATACACATTTGTTTGCGTTTGACACTACAAGAAATGTAATTATTGTTGCGAATGTCGATTAGATTATTATGTTTTATATTTAAATCGTATTATCAATAAATTAATTACTTATTCAAAAATATTCCGTACAAATATTTTTACTAATTAAATTGATAATACATAATAAAAATTTTTATTATAAAAATATACTAATTATTATATTATGTAATTTTTTCTTATATTTTTCTTAAATTTTTTACATATTATTCTTATATTTTTACTAATTAAATATTTATTTACATATAAAAAATTTCGAGTTGAGTAGATCTTATTCATATAAGATCTATGTATTTATATACATACATCTTATAAATGATTTAACAATTTATATGAAACATTTTTTTTATATGAAAGTCAGTCAATTTTCTATGTATATGATTACAATATATTCTTCTTTTTTCCCATTCTAAGACACAATATACATTTTTTGAATGATACAAATATTAATTATTTTTAATTATATTTAATAGAAACATGCATACACACATCTAACTGTGCAGCTTAAGTTTTGCAGGTTTATGTGCATAGTATTTACATATGGATAATAAACGAAAGACGCCTTCTTCACCTGAAAAATCTATATTATACGATGTACCTATTGGTAAGCTACATATTCGTGTTGTAAATGTAAATATTTTTCAGGTGTATTATCGATTTATTTTTTTTATCTATGGTTTCAGATCTATCAATAGAAACAATTATTAAAAGGGATGCAAGGCCATGGCCACAGGATTACGTTCACAACATTAGGTCTCCTGCAAATACTTACCAACGTAAGTTATCAATAATCGTTATTTACTTCATAATTCCATAAATGAAATATTTTTTTAAAATTAGGGATATATAGATCATAACAAACTGTATGTGTTTTTATTACATGGTCATATATTTTCTTTAAATTAACTGTTATTTGTTCAAATTCATTGGACTCAGATAAACAAACTCCAATTCAGTCAGTATTTTCAACTAGAGAAATCATCATGGACAATAATGTTTTGTCTCCAAAATTTGTTGGAAGTAAGTATTATCATTTTGTCATACCATCTATATATATATATATATATATATATATATATATATATATATATATATATATATATATATATATATATATATATATATATATATATATGTGTGTATATTAAAGTACTACAAATTAATATGAAAACATTACAACAATAAAAAAATCGCAGGTTTTCCAAAGTCCTGTCAATTGACTGTCGACGGATCTCAGATGAAAGACAACAATTCGCCAGAAACATTGTCTGACAATAGTACGTCATATATACATACCTATTTTTGTAGTTATTGATTGGGTATGGTTAATATTTATTATTAAATACGTTATCCTTTACTATTCATCAATATAAACGTGTAGGTTATATTGATAAAGGAAAATGCAAAGAAATAATGATTGAACAAGTTGGAAGAAAACGAGGTAAAGGAAGCATTACTGGACAAAAGAAATTGCTTGGTGACGCCTTCAAGGGAATTAATCTTGATCGAATGCGTGATAACGGCGTTCTAACCGATATATCCAATGGTTAGCTATTCAACTATATAAGGGTTAATTATGTCTTTATTAATATATATTATATGGTACGCATGTATGAAATTTTATTGAATGGTCTTAATGAATATTTACATCTTCTTCATATTATAAGAAGTAAAATATTTTTGCTACAAGTATAAATATTATACTTAAGTTTATATAATGCATTTAATACATATATTCATAAATGTGTATATATACAATATATATATATATATATATATATATATATATATATATATATATATATATATATATATATATATGTATATATATATTTCCACATATAATTAATATCTACAGTTTTAATGTGCATACCACAGTATATGGAAGTCCGCACTCATCTTTGGAACATGTTGCAAAAGAAAAGGCTAAAGGTATTATTCCTAAACAAACAAAATTGCTAGGTGATCCTTCAAATCGAGTGAACATGGATCAAACCCAATCGAGTTATACTACAACTAATCGTTCAATTGGTTAGTATTTAATTTAACTTTAAATACGAATATCACAAACTGCTCGATCTTATAGTATTTTTTTACCGTCATTATTTCGTATAGGTCATAACTAACTAAATTTTGTTCTCCCAATATCCTTCTACAGATGCTGTCAATAGTGTACGAAAAAAATCATTTCCAAGATATACAGAAAAATTGACTAAGAAAAAGAAAGGTATTATATCAAGTATTTTTTTTAGCAATAAAAAACAAGTGGCATTAATGAAATGGGGAGTAATTGTGGTGTCGATGCTATGTTAGACGTTAATACTATTATCTTTGTACAATTATTGCTAAATAATTATAAATAAATGAATTTTATAATAAAGAAGTTATGTTGTTATTACAACAGATGACGTTGAGTACTGTCACAATGGTGTATCTACATCGTGTGAAGATCATTTACAAGTTACAAAATCTTATTATGAATCAAATAAAAGGTGCGATCTTATTTTCTAGGACTAATTTTATGTCTTATTAAATGATTAAGTGTGCAATACATGTAGACAATATTCCAGTTTTTTCTTTCATTTCTATAGAAGCTGAATGTTTACTATTATGTTAGTTGTACCGTGCGGAATGGAAAGAAGACGGCTAGGAGTCATAAAACAATTGACTCTGTAACACGTATGTTGGATATGACATCAGTACCCGCTATGTTGGTAGATGAGGATTTACAGACGTTAAGAGACAATTCTTCCGACAGCGGAGGTAATTATCTTTGTCATCATCTCATAACGTATCTCATTGCTATGCGTTATTTGTCAGTATATTTTTCTACTGTAATGATAATTTTTTGTTCATAAATGTAGATTCTGAATATATTTCCAACGATGAGAATAGTGACGATGCAGTTGACGATACTGGTAAATATCATTTTAATCTAACAACTTTTAATCTTAACATTACTAATTATATAAATTCATTACATTTTTTTACATGAATAATATTATTTAATTAATTTTGGATAGATTATGAAGATCTTGGAGACCAAACGTATGAATGTCCTTTTTGTTGTTCAATGATGTGGTACGGTGAAAGAATTGACAAGCATAGGCAAACATCCAGGCCCAAATTTGGCTTATGACAAAGAATACATAGATGCAATAAAATAAGTGAATACTTGGGCATCGGGGGATTATATAAGAAGGTTATTTGCGGTTATGCTGCTTTCCAATAGCTTAAGTCGGCCCGAACATATTTGGCAAAGTTGTTGGTTGGATTTGGCTGAGGGTATTGCTTACAAACAACAACGTCTTCATAAAAATCCAGGTATGGCAATTTGTATGGCATTGTATTCAATTAGATTTTACGTATTAATCATTCTTTTAATATTGTCTCTGTACGATTTCAACTAGATGCACATAATTTATCCATTTTTTTATTGTTGAAGATTTACATATATCGGATGAAAGGTTGAAGAACTATACTCTCACCGAAATAGAAAAAATATTGCAAAGCAATGGTAAAAGCCTGCAAAATTACGCGCCTATGCCAGTTCCAATCCAATACTCATATGAGGACACAGAAAATATATTGGTGTTAGATGAACTGGATTAGGACCGGTTTGAAATGGGTAGAGAACTTCAACAGTGTCTTGCTTCCATTACAGATGAGCAAAGAAAGGTTTATGATGTAGTCATGGATGCAGTAACCAATGATAGTGGTGGAATGTTCTTTCTATATGGCCATGGTTGAACGGGAAAGACGTTTCTATGGAAAACTCTTTCGGCTGCAGTTCGTTCGAAGGAAGAGATTGTAATTAACGTTGCATCGAGTGGTATATCATCGTTATTGCTCCCCGGTGGAAGAACAGCTCATTCTCGATTCGGACTACCCATAAATGTACATGAGAGTTCCACCTGCAGCATATCGCAACAAAGTCCACAGACAGAGTTGCTCATAAGGGGCGAGCCCACATCTAAGTTTGGACGAGGCTCCTATGATGCCTAGATACTGTTTTGAAGCCCTTGACAAGACAATGAAGTCAATATTACAGGCTGACAAACCCTTTGGTGGTAAGGTGGTTGTTCTTGGAGGTGATTTTAGGCAGATTTTACCGGTTGTGCTCAAAGCATCAAGGCAGGACATAGTACATGCTACGATAAACTCCTCTCCACTGTGGAATTTCTGTTGTGTCATGAAGTTGACTAAGAACATGAGATTGCAGTCATTCTCTTCTCCATCTAATGTGGATGAGATAAAAGAATTTGGAGACTGGATACTGAATGTTGGTAATGGGGATGTTGGGGAAGACAATGATGGTGAAGCTTCGATAGAGATTCCAGATGACATGTTGATTGGTGATTCAGAAGATCCATTCAGAGACTTACTCGAATTCGTTTACCCGGATTTGTTGAGTAACATGTACGATCGAGATTATTTTCAAGGGAGGGAAATTCTTGCACCAACTAATGAATGCGTCGAGTCTGTGAACAATCACTTAATGTCTCTCCTTCCAGGAGAAGAGAAGGTGTGCCTGAGCTCAGATAGTATGTGTAGGGACGAGCACACAACGGAGGATAATACATAAATTTATTCGACTGAATTCCTCAACACAATAAGATGCTCCGGAGTTCCTTCTCATGCGTTGAGGATCAAGGTTGGTGCACCCGTTATGCTAATAAGAAACATCGATCAAGCTAGAGGATTGTGCAACGGTACCAAACTTCAAATTATTAGAACTGGCATTCACGTTCTGAGTTGCAAAATTCTTTCCGGAAAAAATATCGGTGACATGGTGTTCATTCCTCGAATGACTTTAATACCATCTAACTCCGGACTGCCAATTAAATTTCAGAGAAGACAATTTCCGTTGATTGTTTCTTTTGCAATGACAATAAATAAAAGCCAAGGCCAAACTCTTTCGCATGTTGGTTTGTATCTTCCTAGGCCTGTCTTCAGCCATGGTCAACTATATGTTGCAGTGTCTAGAGTTAAGAGCAGGGGTGTCATTAAGATATTTATCAAGTCGGATTCGGGTGAACTCACCAATGTTACTAGAAATGTCGTGTACAAGGAAGTATTTCATCATATTTGAAGGTAGAAAATATTTTCATATTTATAATTTATTCATGTAACATGTTTTTTATTTTATTTTTAAAGAACTTATTCTTTTGCAGGTGTTTCTTATCTATATATTTTCCCTGTGCGATGTTATTTTCAGTCATTTCCCTAGGGTGCTCGGTGCAATTCTTATTATCTTTAAGATTTATTTTTGACGATATATTACTATTTAATAGTATTCTTATATTATAACTATGAAGAACATGACACTTATAACATATTTTTATTATTGTTGGTCGATTATGTTATATACTTAAATTCGGTGACCGTGATAATTGATATATGCGTAAATTTGTTTTTGAGACATGTATTTTCAGTTAGAAATATGTCGCCCCGTGCATCGCACGGGTGAATACTAGTTATTTACAAATATCAATTCGTAAAATAGTTGAAAATTAATATTATACAATAAATGCTAACTATTAAATCATATGGTTGGAGTAGAGTAGTAAAATCTGAGGTGGTATAATGCTATTCATTAGCTACTATTTTAGCTCTTAACCTTGGAGATGCTCTTACTATTACTATTAGTATTGGTATTGGTATTGGCATTTGTATTAGCACATTAACATTAGTATTAGTATTAATATTAGTATTAGTATATTAGTATTAGTATTAGTATTAGTATTAGTATTAGTATTAGTATTAGTATTAGAATTAGAATTAGTATTAGTATTAGTATTAGTATTAGTATTAGTATTAGTATTAGTATTAGTATTAGTATTAGTATTATTATTAGTATTAGTATTAGTATTAGTATTAGTATTAGTATTAGTATTAGTACTAGTATATGTATTTAGTATTTAGTATTAGCATTAGCATTAGTATAGTATTAGTATTAGTATTAGTATTAGTATTAGTATTAGCATTAATATTAGTTTTAGTATTAGTATTAGTATTAGTATTAGTATGAGTATCAGTAGGGGTATGAATATTATTATTAGTATTAGTTTTAGCATTAGTATTAGTATGAGTATTGGTATTGATATTAGTATTAGTATGAGTATTGGTATTGATATTGGTATTGGTATTGGTATTGATATTGGTATTGGTATTGGTATTGATATTTGTATTGGTATTGGTATTGGTATTGGTATTGGTATTGGTATTGGTATTCGTATTGGTATTGGTATTGGTATTGGTATTGGTATTGGTATTGGTATTGGTATTGATATTGGTATTGGTATTGGTATTGGTATTGGTATTGGTATTGGTATTGATATTGGTATTGGTATTGGTATTGATATTGGTATTTATGTTGGTATTAGTATTGGTATAAGTATTAGTATTGATATTGATATTGGTATTAATATTGGTATTGATACTGATATTGGTTTAATATTGATATTAGTATTGTTATTGATTTTTGTATTAATATTAGTATTAGTATAGTATTAATTAATAATAGTATTAGTATTAGTATTAGTATTAGTATTAATATTAATATTTATATTAGAAATAGCATGGACTATTATACGTCGCAATATGAAGAATTAAGAGTAGAGGTGGCATAAAAATATCATCAAGCCGGAGTGAACGACTAATATTACTTGCAATATTGTCTACTAGGTGGCATAAAGACATAGGGATGAGTTTAATTGAGAGAGTTTTTTTGTGGACCAAAATACATTTAAATCTCATGTGATGGGTCTTTTTGCCATTCGCAATTTTCTATATTACCCCATGCATCGCATTTACATCCTCTTTTCATTTATAAATGTGTTTGATCTACCTCATCGGCGTGTTTTAGTCATTAAAAAATTGTACTTAGAATTGATTCCCGTGCATCGCACGGGTGAGTTACTAATATATACAAAACAGTAATTTTAATACGATAAATGCACGAAATCAATTGAATTTTTTTTCAATGAAATATCTCAAGAAGGATAAGATCAATGAAGGAAATGGTCAGCTGAAGAAAATTGTTGAGGTTTATATAGTTTATTTTAGGATACACTAATTAGAAAAAATAATTGAATTCAAATTTCAAATAATTCTACTATGGGCAGGAAGATTTGAATTGATTCGATATCTTCACGTCAATTCGAATGATTTGATTTGTCTTGATTATGCATTAATATGAAAAATATTAAACAATAATTAAAGTCGATTATATATTTTCCATAAATAATCATATCAATTAAGTCTAATCTATATATAATATAAAAAGAGGATCTATGCCCTCAATGATTGACATGTGGCAAATGATGATGTCATTTTTCAAAATTGCTTAGTTGGAGTTCAATTGATGAGGTGGATTCTTCAATTGGTGAGTTGTCAATTTTATTTTGGTATGTATTTAAGTTATTTCCTATTTAACATTTATACACTCATTTAAACAATTATCACATGTATATATATTATTTCCAATGTTAATATTTTATAAATTCGAAAAACAGAAAAAAAAACTTATTTATATTTTTAGTATTTCAAAATACATTTATTGAAAAAATTCATGAT